GGATGGAGAAATGATCAAAATAAAAATTGTAGATCTCAAAAAGTTATGAAACTTTGTTGTTTACAAATTTTTCATTTGAAATCATTTAGTGCTTCAAAATGCTATTTGAATTTCAATTTCGAAATGGTTAAAGAACGCATATTTCTCTTTTTAATCTTTGGCTAAAACTTGTAACTAGTTTTTCTCCCTCGTACTAACTTCAAATTTGATAATTTTTTTTCTAAATTTTTTAAAATCATGTTCTATCAATTTATTGTGTTCTTATAGCTATTATTGTGTTCATCTTTTCATGTGACTGTATTCTATCTATTTGAATTTTGAATTTCAAAAAATAGCAACTTCAAACGTCATTTTCAAACATTAAATGACTTCAGCTGAAAAAGTCATAAACATAAAAGTTGTAAAACTTATCAAGATCTACAACTTTTATTTTAGTCATTTGTTCATCCGAGATTGTGGTAGTAATATTGTTCACAAAATTTACATCTCTCTCTGTAGTTTCATAAACTATAAAAGAGATGTGTGAGATTCATGAATAATGTTACTACCACTATATCGGATGAATAAATTACTAAAATAAAAGTTGTAGATTTCAGAAATTTATGAAACTTTATAGTTGAAAACTTTTTTATTTGAAATCATCTTGTCAAGGAAAACTACGTTTGAATTTCTCAAATTTAAAATTTGTATTTTTCAAACGACCTCGGAATCTCAGATGGAGAAACAACCAAAATAAAAGTTTTAGATCCCAAAAAATAATGAAACTTTGTTGATTACAACATTTTCATTTGAATTTGTTTAAGGCCTCAAACAATAATTTTTTGCTTTTTTTGTTTTTTTTCTCGAATTGTGATTTTTGGAATTGGACCAAAATATTACTTCTTGTCCAAACGGCCCAATCCTCTATAACCCTAGCTAAGCTAGCTGGCCCATATATAAGTTCCCACTTGGATATATATATATATTTGGCCCATATATACTGCTTTTACTCAATATCCGAATAGATATTTGTATCCGACCTTCTTCAAATCCGATTCATACCATATTCGATACTCATTATTCGTATCCGTAACCGAGTCAATCCGTATTCGTATATATATCCGAACGCTATCCGTGTCCGAATCCGAACAGAAATATAAAAACAAATATAATATGAGTGATATCCGTTCGTATCTAATCCGTTTTCATCCATATTGCAGAGGGCGTGGGGACGACAAGCAAGCAGCGGCGGTGTGGCACCAGCAGCAGGCAGCGGCGGTGGGAAGAGGAGGGCAAGGAGAAGTGATGGTCAGTTGGTCACGCTCAAGAGGTACGGATATTTTCCGACTGTATTTGAGACCGAATCCGTTTAGAAGATTCAGATCTGTCCGTATTTGAGTCTGGATATTCAGCATCCGATATTGTATCCGTATCCGAATACTAAAATCATATATTTATTATGTCAATATTCAATCGTATCCTATCCGACATGGTTAACACTATCCGTATTCGAACCAAATCTAGACTGAAATATGAAAATAAATATAATATTAGTGATATTCGTTCGTATCCAATCCGTTTTTATCCCTACTCAAGAGACAACATTCATTAATTGTATATATCAAATTTGAATAGATGGATGCATGCTTGAGTACCTATTTGGATCGAATGAAGATCAGTCTATTTTTTCTTCACAGGGTCCAAGTAGCCATTTTTTTTTGTTGGTTACAAGCATTATTTATTTTTCTTACTTCATATCCATTGTGTTCTTTGCCAATTGAAATAAAAATATAACTAAACTCTATTCATTGATATACGATATGGGCCATAGGTGGCAAAAGGTTCTGATTGCCTATAATCATTTTCTTTCAATACTTTATGAGCCAAAGAAAATTTATATGGTTAATTGCATGGTGCTCTCGCCGGCCCTACTGTAATAATGATGAATAATCGTTCTACAAAAGCTATTGAATAAGTAACATGGGTGTCTCACTGTTTATCTATAGTCTTTTCATGGCCTCTGGCAATAACTACGAACGACTGTGTATTTTTGGTTCGGCATACCACCATTCATATCAGGAGCGGATCCAGGGCCCGGGCTGCAGTCCAGGACGAGTCCATGTAGCCTTAACATATGTGGTGTTTAGCCTAAAAATTATAATTTTAATTAGATAAAAGGAGGCCTAGAAGTAAGATCGGACTGTTTTGAATGTGAATCAGCAGCTTAGCCCGAGGCGCAACCCCGTTCTGGATCCGCCCCTGATTCATATATCACATTGTATTATATCTTATTGCTGATGAATGTTCTTTAGGTTCTTTCTGCTACTTAAATCTCCCGTGATAATGCACAGGATATCACCTAGTTATTGCAATGCGTAGAATGCCGATATTGTTTTTTTTAACTGATATTGGTTTATTGGTTATCCATTGGAGGCTAATACGAAGCCAAATTTGCGTACCTAGGTTCATATGTAATTGGATCGAACAAATACATGTAATAACAGACATCAAGTTCATTTTGACATAACTCTCGTTGTCCTCTTGTTATATGTTGTTTAAGAATAAATGTATAACAATACTATGAACGAGTATTGTGAAAAAAAAACTCTCATTCCTAAGGACTGTGCCAGTTTCACTGAAGGGTTCCATATCCTGATTTTAAGACTCCATATGTTAGAAACAATACAGATAAGTTTTATCCTCGTAAAACTTATTTTATCAATGAAACTTTTGTAATCTCAATCTCTTCGTCCATTCTATGCCACGAAACTCTATTGAAATCCCATTAAGGCTGGTCTAATGCCGGTCTCAGTGGGATAAGTGTTTTTCATAATGTGACAACGCTTTTAAGAAGTGAGTTTCATGAACATAAAAGTCACCCAACACAATTACCAACTCTCTATGAATCATAAAATTAAATGCTTATAGAATCATAGAATGAAAGTTTCCAATGAGGGAGTGGGTATTTCATCGTGTTTCATTTATTCTATATTACATGGGAGTCTTTTTTCATGTTTATATTAAAAAAAACTCAGGCTGCGGGGGTAAACACCCCGAGCTATTTTAGCTTAAGGTAAAGGACATCTCACCCAGCCCAAGAAAACCCCCGAACCCTATGCCCCGCCCGCACACAGGGGCCCGTTACCCGGTGAGAGGGCTGGTCTATTTTACTTGTGCTTTGGGAACGCGGACAGGCGATGGTTTTTTTTTCCACACCGCCGACCAAAAGTTCGCCTAACCCAGGATTCAAACTTTGGTCACGAGGGACGCCACCCGGAGGCTTGACCAATTGGTCTAGCAACTGTAGGCTTTCATGTTTATATTTAACCAGAGGTCATGTAATTAGGGCTTGTTTGCTTGCTGCCTGCGAGACAAGTTTCCAGCCAGGCAAGCATATGAATCTCAGGCCACCAAAATTCAACGCCTGGGAAATCCTTGACTGGGCTAGACAGGTTCTTAGGACACCTGCAATGGTATAAGCTAGTTACCAGCTCTAAACCAACTTTTTCAATAATACTAACTCTTAGCATATAGCTCATAATATAGATAGCCTTATACGTCACTCTTGTGATCTTGAAATATGTGTATGAACCTAGCTCTTAATCTAAAGCTAGCTTTTCTCTCTCTTCTATTAAAATAGTATAAAAAATACTTTACATAGCTTATAAGTCATCCATTGCAGGTACCCTCGTTGCAGCAAGCAAATAAGCCCTTGGTGTCATGAACTGGGATTGGATGTGAAATTAAGAAGGCCGTGAAGGGTGCCACCGAATGCAGGAGATATACAGTCATTACTGCTTAATGATCACACCAACGAACGATCTTATTCGCACTGATTTTGCGTGAACTTAAGCCTATCCAAACCGAGGTGAACCAAACCTTCTAAGCTTCTACCCCTACACATCTTTCTTAGAGCAAGTATAGTATGGAGCCGTAATCAGGCTAAATGATGGGGTAGATGAGAGAAAGAGAGAGAGAGGAGAAATGGGATGTAAGTTTATAGTCGGCTTGGACACAAGAACTCCAACCAAATTCAGTGGGGATTTTATGTCCTAGTTTTCAACACATCTATATTTGGAAAAACAGTGCAGAAGAGTTTTATTCCCATAAAACCCTCTCTACTTTTATAAAACTTTTATCATCTCTCTCTTCATTATACGGTGCCACATCAACATATTTAATGCCCATAAAACTCTGATGAAACTCCATTGAGACTGGCATAGAAACTCTATGAGAGGGCCATGAATGAATAGTAAAGATATAACTATTATATAGATGGATAGAGAGATAGATTGCAAGAATTTATAGGGTCAGCATCTGACTGTATTATTAGCCTTGCTCCTGAACAAAGCCATTTTTCTGCATGACTCCAACGCCCTGCCTCACTCTATGAGGCTGTCTTCAACGGGAGACCCATTGCAAAATACAAATTCAAAATAGGTCTCCAACCCAATACCTATAGTCTCCAATAGGATACTTATATGGAAGATCTATTTTGGGTGCTGGAAAAGACATAATCTAAATATGAGTATTCTCTCTCCTGAAAATTTATTTACAGAAATGATTGTTTTTTGAGTCTCATTATCAGAAAAACTAAAAATAGATATTAAATTTTTTTTTGTATGTAGCGCTACCTAACAGATGAATGAATCTTGTATTTGGTGTCGTGGTTGTTGGGACCGTCTGACCTGGCACATCTCCACTCCTCGCCCTCTCTCCTGTCTCCTCACTCCACCCCCACCACCGGCCCCGCTGAACTCCAAGGTCTATTCTTCTGCCCCTCTCCCGTCCCCGAGATCGCATTTTCCGAGTTCCTGATCACGGAAAACCCTTCTGGGGACCCGGGAATTCCTCCCTCAGATCCGCGCTTTCCTCGGAGGCGTCGCTGAATTGCGGGTTCTTTGCGCAGGTTTCCCGCGTGCGGCGGCGAGCGGGGCGGGACGGGGACGGGGATTGGGTTGGATTGGAAAGGGGTAGGGACAGACCGAGCCGTCGCCCGTTGACTAGCGCGGCCGCCAGAGATGGGCAAGGGCGGCGGCTGCGTCCCCAGCAAGAAGCGCCAGCCACCGGCCGCCGCGCCCTCCTCGTCGTCTGCCGCGGCGGCGGTGCCGCGCGAGGCGCCCGAGGAGGAGGTGGCCAACGCGGCTTTGCCGACGGCCGCGCGGAAGTTGCGGCTCTACATCGTGTTCTACTCGATGTACGGGCACGTGGAGTCCCTGGCGCGGCGCGCGGCGGCTGGCGCCGGCGCGGTGGACGGCCTGGAGGCCGTGCTGCGGCGGGTCCCCGAGACGCTCCCGCCGGAGGTGCTGGAGAAGATGCAGGCGCCGCCCAAGGACCCCGCGGTCCCCGTCATTGCGTCGGCCGCCGAGCTGCAGGAGGCCGACGGGGTGTTGTTCGGCTTCCCGACGAGGTACGGCGCTATGGCCGCTCAAATGAAGGCCTTCTTCGACTCCACCGGCTCGCTCTGGGAGGCGCAGAAGCTCGCTGGGAAGCCCGCCGGGTTCTTCGTCAGCACCGGAACGCAGGGCGGGGGCCAGGAGACCACGGCGTAAGAATTGAACACTCTTTATTACTCTTTCAGGTTTCTTTTATTTAATACCCGTTACATGCTCTTGAAGGAAGAATCGAACACTTGCTATTCCATTGATAGGTCGTTTCTTAAAACTGAAAACAGGCCATACTTCTTGAGATTAATTACTATACTTTGTTGCTATAAAAGTGTTTAACTGAACCTCCAGTACAGGTCTATGACTTCTTTTCCTTCTGTTTTACTCAGGGTTAAGCAAGCCTACAATAGTATAATCCTGATTCGTTATCTGGCTGAAGGATTTGTGATGTTTTCACTGCCTGATGGTTTAGGCTCCATGTGTGAGATAATCAAGTCATGGATTAGTTTAGCACCTCACTCATTTTTCTGCTTTTGTTTGAAGTTGTTTGTGTTCCTTCTCCCCAATTATTAGAATACCTGTTTTTATTGTATGTTTGATAATTTGCACTTCCACTCCATCCTCCGTTGTAGTTAATTCAGTGAATGCGAGTTTACAACTAGGAAATGTTATTAAATAGTATAATAATATACAAATCGACAAACAATTTACCAAAATGAGCGGTAACACGTGTAATTGAAGCTGAAATGCTCTTATTATTTTGACGACTTCCCGTAGTTCACTATCAAGTGCTTCTAAAGCAAGATGCCTGCGTCATGGTAACGATGATAACAATTTACCAATTTGGTTGTTACAAAATATGAAGCTGAAGAACCATATTTGTTGCAATTTAAGATTTCATCACACTATTTTCTCCATTATTGATGATCATGGTGCTGTACAGTGAGACTATTAACAACAACACGGGGTGGTCATAGATGAATTTAAGGACATTGGATATGATTTGTACAAAAAGGACTCTTTGAGTTAATGCTATGGTACGGAGTACATTTAGGTGTACCTGATCAATATCTGCCGCAGTGCAGATCAAACTGCAGCGTGTGGTACAGTCCTAAGCATGGGCAGTAAATTCAAGATTTTTAAGATCAGGATGAACTAAGGGCCTGTTTGGTTCCTTAGATATAATTTTAGTCCATGTCCCATCGGATGTTTGGACACATGCATGGAGTATTAAATATAGACTAAAAATAACTAATTACACAGATTGCGACTAATTTACGAGACGAATTTTTTAAGCCTAAGTAGTCCATGATTTGACAATGTGGTGCTACAGTAAATATATGCTAATGATGGGCTAATTAGGCTTAATAAATCCGTCTCGTAAATTAGTCTCCATCTGTGTAATTAGTTTTGTAATTAACTTATGTTTAGTCCTCCTAATTAGCATCCGAACGTCTAATGGGACATGGACTAAAATTTAGTCCGTGGAACCAAACACCCCCTAAAACAGATGCATGATTGAGAAGTTCCTATGAGAAATCAAAATTGCGGCCGTTTAAATTCTTGCATCCAAACAAAGGCTAACCAAAACTACTACTTGCTGAAAAATATTATCCCTTGTTCTCTCAAGAGAAAGGGATTTTGGATATTTTTGCTTGTTAGGTAAATGCTCCTTATTCCAGTTTGGAGCCAGTTGGCTATCCTTTTCAGTTTCTTCACTTGAACGAACCAGACTATACCTTATTAATTGCTTTCATAGTCTGCTTAACAGCTTAAGGAAAACAATGCAAAGAAAATGAAAAAATCTTAAAGCATAAATAATAACCATTACATAATTTACGGTGTTGCTACTTAATTGCTGTAGAATCATAATTCTTTAGTACAAGGCTGGGACTAGTGTTCCTGTGATCATAAAAATAATAAAAAAGAATAGAAATCCTTATGCCTTGGTTTCATTCTCCTTACTTGTTTGCAACTTGTATTTTTTCTCTATATAATCTTTGTAGCAGAATAGAAGTATCTGAATTCACTAGCTATTCCTGATCAGTGACCATGCTTTGTTTATTGTAGTTGGACGGCCATCACCCAGCTAGCGCACCATGGAATGCTTTTCGTCCCCATTGGCTACACCTTTGGTTCAGGCATGTTCAACATGGATGAGATCAGAGGAGGCAGCCCCTATGGTGCTGGCGTCTTTGCTGGCGATGGCAGCAGACAACCTAGTGAGACAGAACTCGCCCTTGCAGAGCACCAGGGCAAGTACATGGCCTCAATAGTGAAGAAGCTAGCTCACCATGCTTGAGCCAGCCACCCCTGTGCAGTAAAAGTCACACAGTCACCTTCCTCCAGCCCTTGGCTTCTCCTATTGTTTCCAGATACATCCGGTCCGTCGTATATGTGCACAGCTTGCCCTATTTTTTTGTCAAAGTAGCCACCCCTAAATTAAGGTTCCTTTGTACATCGTTGACATAAACGTATTGTTGTCCATTTGAATAATAAGTGTCCCACAAAGTGTTCATCAATAAACATCATATGTCATATTGGTTTTGGAAAATTTGGTGTTTGTTCTTTTGCGCAGAACCATTTTTATACTATGAAAGAAAAGCATTTTTGTTCTGTTGCTTTTCCTGTCTGCTTCAATATACCATTTTTCCCATGTGGTCCTTTGGATTAAAGGATTAGCCATCTTGAAATCCTATAATATTACTATGAGATGGCTTTCCATAGCAATTTATGAGGAAATTCTGGGATGGAATCCAATCTCTTGGAAACTCTCTTTTATATCTTTCACTTAAACTCCTGGTGTTTCTCCTATGTTGCATCCAACACTCTCCATCAGAACTTTACTATGTACTTCAGCATTTTAGAGGGGAAAATATATTTAAAACCTCACTCAACTATTGACCCAGTCCGATTATGTTTCCTGAGCTGCAAAATCATATATCTTTTACTACCTCAACTATTTAATATTGTGCAAATCACACCTCTTGGTGGTTTTAGATAGGAAAGGTCCATATCACCTCTCAATTTTTGTCCTGGTTAACTTTCCTCCCTCTGTCCCTCAACCTTATAAGAAGAGGAGAACTAGAAGAATACCCTGCGTACTGTAACAATAATTTCTTAGAATTAAAATCGTTGCATGTATAAGCTGGACATATATGTTCTTGTATCAGTTGTAGTCAAAACTAGGCAATATAGTGGAAGAATCCAATAAAAAGTCTAACAGAATATTAGATTGAATTATAAGATGATGGAAGGACGAAACAAATCTATATTAGAATACGGATGCCTTATATTTTGATTAGATTGAAAATAGTAGCTGAACCTATTTTTTAAGGAAAAAATAATTGTACTTAATGGGTATGATTTGGATATTTTTTAGTTATAATGGAGGATGATTTAGGTCTGGTGCAAGCGGTAGAGTCTTACCGCCTGTGACCGGAAGGTCCCGGGTTCGCGGTCTCCTCGTATTGCACAGACGAGGGTAAGGCTTGCCACTGATACTCTTCCCTAGACCCCGTATAGAGCAGAAGCTCTCTGCACTGGGTACGCTCTTTATAATGGAGGATGATTTAGATAATGAATGGTGTGGATAGTTTACATGAGGATTTGAAATTGTGAGGAAACGATGTGAATAGCTTACATGACAAACTGTTTGGTCTACTGTTTCCTGCATCATTCATCCGCGCACACGGCGCGTGTATATACAATGGTCCACATGGCATATGGCATCTCACATTCTATGCCTCTTCTTTGCTATATGTGAAGGTTGGGCGGCGAGTTACATCGGTACAAAATGTTAAGCTCCCTTATTATTGGGGTTTTCGATGCTCTTGGTGCCATATGCCAATATCAACATATCACTGAGTGTTTTCAGAGAAAAAAAAATCATTGAGGACCAGTGCTTTAAATCTACCTAACTAATGGATTTGATTTATGAACATTAAATATGTTACACAAATAAGGAGATATATGATACTTCTTCCACTTGAAACCACCGAAGCGTATGATTTATCGGATGTGTCGGAAGAGACAGGCATATGATTTATATATACAGTACTTGATGTTTTTCTTTTTTGAAAATTATACAGTGCTAGATGTTGATGGAGCAAGCATATCTTGATTTTACCATTTAGGGAGTAAAATAAAATGAAATCAGTCCCAATTCATGGGAGTCAAATCTGGCCCCGTAAAGCTCAGATTGTTTTTTTTTTTAGAATCGTAAAGCTCAGATTGCTGGTGCAGGTAAAAAAAATAATTCTGGGCCGGAAGGGTCCGAAATCCATTTCCGGTTGCTGGACCGTATCAGGCCCGTCCGCCGTCCGGTACGGTATATCTCTCTCCCAAAACAGAAGGCGCCTCGCCGACGAGAAAGTGAACACGCGCTCTTCCGACGGCGGCCATTTCAAAATTTTGGAATCGCCCTCCGGACCGGAGGAACTGAGAAGCGTCAGCCCTCGCCTCTCCTCCCCGCCTCCCGCACTCCCGCTCGCCTTCCCTCGTCCGCCGCTGAATCCGTTCCGTCCCACCTCGCCGTCGCTCTCTCCGCCCTCGTATACAGGTACAAACACACCTCCGTCCCTCCCCTTTGTTTTCTCCCTTTGCGGCCTCGGCTCGACCTCGATCGCCGGGTGCAAACGCTGTACGGCGTGATGATTGCGGTGGTGGTCGCTCCTGTTCCCTTTCATTTGGGGCACTTCCGATGCTTTTCCTTCTTCCGATAGGGTTGTAAGATCTTATTGATGTGCATTTGGTGGCGCTTTAGGGGGGCTTCGTATTATCCTCTGTATAGATGGCGCGATCGTGTAGTGTTGGTGCCGTGTTGCGTGATGCTAGCGACGTAAGCGGCTCACTGTTGATTTCCCCTCATTCAGTTCGAAAACTGCTGGCCAGTCGGTGCAATAGCTTCAACTCAACACTCAACAGTATAGGCATGTTGATTTCTGAATGGGGGAATCGAGAGGAGAAGAGGCGTTGGTATGGTTTTCTAGAATGGTGGATACGGCTGAGCAAAGCATGTTGTAAAACTTAACTGCAGTTTGCCTTTCAGCAGAACGAATTGTCCTGGTTCAGTATATTTGTTGTTTTCTCCACAAACGTGTAGATTTATTTATTAATCCAGAAACATTTCTTATAAACACGATTTTCCTTTCATTCTGTGTGATTTATGAGTCACTGTATTGCAGTGCATCCCAGCACCCAATTTCTCCTAAGTTATCCCAATGCTTGTCAGTCATCATACACTATATATCAATTGATATTGAGGGGGTGCATGTTGCAGTGTTGGTTTGAAGAGGCGTCGTTCATAATACTGAAGCTATGGAGGATTCTGTACAAGTTGCATGTGTAATACCAAATGCTGCAGATACTGCATTTCAGATTTACTCCTTGAAGCGATCGGCATATGCTGCTGTGCTGAGAGCATTCTGTGCTCACTCAGACATTCTCTCAAGGGTACTTCCTCACTCCTATAAGTTCAGCTGTGAAGTCTTAGTACTAAGCAAATTATATACAGTAGGAAATATGGTGATCTGTTACTCTATACCATGACATGGTAATATGATAGATACTCTTGTTTCTTATGTCACTTCTGAGGATATCTTGCTGAAACCTTACTCTTCATGCCCTTATTAGTTTCCTTACTTTAATCCTCCTTTTTTATGAGTATGTTTAGCTATTACACAGTTCGGGTGAATTTCAATGATAGCATTTTTTTTCTAGAATATGCACGATAGCATATTCAGTATCTTTTTCAGCTACATATATGTGTGTTACATGCTACTTACCTTTGCTTTCTTACAGGACAAAGTAAGATGTCTCACTGAACTGAGAAATGAGCTTAAAATATTGCAGACTGAACATGCAGAATGTCTTGTGAAAGCCAGATCAAATAAGCAAATCAAGTCTTTCAGGTGAAATAGTTAGTAATCAGTATTGCTTCTCATAGTAAAACATATATGCTGATTGAAAGACTTATCTGTTCCACAGCTCCAAATTTCTAACTTTTTGAAATTTTCGATGCTATATGTTGGCATCTAGTACTGTTTCATGTTTCTGTGTGGCCTAGATAAATATTTTCTTGTTCCTGTTTCCTTGTCTTACCTAAGCAAATTCTCCCCAATACTGATCACCTTCGTATTAGATATATTACAAAACAATTTATGTGGACTGCTGCATTTCTTGTCACAGTGCCGGCTTGCACTCCAAAGGAAACACTTGCAGTACTGAAGTTATAAAGGATTATCTAGATCTTGCATGCGTCCTACCAGATGCTGGAGATACTGTGTTTCAGATTCACTGCTTGGAGCGATCAGCATATGCATCAGTGTTAAGAGCTTTCTGTGCTGTGACAAACCACCTCTCATTGGTACATCTGTTAGCTATACCTCCTTTTCCTATAAGCTCCAAATACAAGTAATCGAATCATAGATGATATAATCATTGGATCAATTGTATATTGTTTTATTATACTCCCTCGGTTCCAAATTATAGTTCACTTGGGCTTTGCCCCAAGTCAAAACTTCTTTAACTTTGAGCAAGTTTATAGAAAACCGCACCAACATGTACAACATCAAATTTCTTTCATTAAATTCTCCATGAAACATATTTTGAAATTACATTTATTTGAACTCGAGATGTTAACATATTTTTCTAAAAACAAGGTCAAAGTTAGAGAAAGGTTTGACTTAGGACAAAGCCAAACTTAACTATAATTTGGAACGGAGGGATTATGACATTGTATCCAGGCCACGCCTTTTTACCTGTTTGCTTTACTCAGTACTCTTTACCTATACATTTTTGCAGTTACAGGTCAAGCTTCTATCTCAACTAAAAAATGAACTTAGAATATCGCATAGTGAGCATAAAGAAGTTATTATGAAGGTCAGTTTAAATGAGCATATCAAGTCTTTGAGGTGAGCATGTCTAGTCATTTGTTCTCAGTACGAAGTGTATGCTTATTAAATGCATTTTCTTCCCTGCAGTTTCACATGCCTAACCTTTCTTATTGAGCAGGAAATTTAGTTTGGCAAATCTGTCTGTTGTTACAAAGACCAATCCAGCTTTTGATGTGCATGCTGTGCTTCATGACAAGATTGGCTCAACTGGTCAGGTTTGCACTTCATCCACAAGCTGCCTCAGTTTGATACAGCAATCACCAGTATCAGAGAATTCAATGTCCTCCACAAGGTGTCAATTTTCTTTTTTTCCCACACAAATCAATTTTTCACAAATAAATGTGTTGATGCTCATTTATTGTGATGGCTAATGGAACAGAGACATTGGGATATCAAATAGCTCAAATGGAGCCAAAGAAGGACCTTATTTCGAATCCCGCACAGTGGTGCCTGCTAAAAGGTTGAAAACTGTAAATGGGCATGCACCAGCATACTTAAAATGTGGCCCTTCCAATCAGTTACCAGTGGCAGTTTCTGATGTGATGGCGGTACGGAATGTTTCCCTTTTTTTTTTTAAAAAAAACATTGCATTCAACTTGGAATTGTGCATATGCATTTCATTGTTTTCTTCTGTAACTATCTTATCCATGTATGGAAAATTTACTGAACCATAACGATGTTGAAAAGGACATGCCCACTATCATGATGGAAACCATCTATTATTCTTCATTACCATGCCCATTTAGTGGTTGTGTTGTGTGTGACTGTAAATGATGAAAAAGGCATTTAATATGCCTTCATAGTTCAATAACATCTTTGACAGTAGTCTATACGCTAATACGCTTTTATTGTCAAAATTGTTAAATCAAAGCCTTTTGGTGGATTTTACATGTTGGCACAATGGTTGCACCGCTGATACACTTGATTGCGATACGTTATGCTGTGAAGTGAAGTCTGGATGTGCTTCATCTCCCATTTTTCAGGAAAAGCACAGCCAATTGAATACTGGCCAAAGTCCTTTAAGTGTTGACCATGCTAGGCAAGAATCAGGGAAAAGGAAAACTGTAGTGCCTGAGATGAGTGTATCCGAGAGTCTGGGTGTTATGGACAGAAAGAATGAGATTGAGTACTAGAAGCCCAAGAATAAGGACTCAGATTTGGAACATGGTTCTGAAATAATTAAGCTTTGCCTAACTGCTAGCCTTCTAAACAAGGTACACTACTCATCCTTGTGGTCCAAATACATAATTTGTCTGAGGACTCCTTCAATAGTCCAATTACTTATTAACCTTTCTTTTATTGATATTGTGATGTCCTGTGACATGTCTCACAAATTAAGATTCCATATATATCCTTTCTTCGTATTAATATACCACTCTCTGTCTTGAATTTGTTCTTATTAGTTACATGTATTCTATTCTTTCTTCTATCCCCTTTGTGTATGTTGGCCCCCTGGATCTTCGGAACGGGTGAGCCGACCACTCACCGGAGTTGCCGACCACACACTATGGCTAGAGGTAGAAGAAGGGAGAAAGAATAGAGCACACACAGCACAAGCACCAGCGTTGGCCAAAGCTCTGCAGAGGAGATAGCAAAACTGAATTCGCTCTCTTTACTGAGTTGCAGTGGGAAACTATATATACAACTCTACCCATCTAATCCTACAATGACTAGATGTGACAAAGAGAGTGACTTTGACGCCTTTGCCTCATTGTGTGGCTACAATCATGGCAGGGGAGCCTTTCGGCGCCTGCCCCTCAGCAGCTGCTACATGCAAAGAAATAGGAGCCCTTTTCGGCGCTTGCCCACGTCATGCGCGTTTACAGGGGAGCAGCAGATTACTTAACAATTCTTCCCCTAATCCTGCTGCTAACCCTAGAAACCCCTCCATGCCGATCATCTTCTTTAACTCCGTGAGCCGAAGGCGACCGAGCGGCTTGGTGAGGACGTCCGCGAGTTGCCGACCAGTTTCGATGAACTCGATGACGATCTGCCCTCCATCGATACAGTCTCTGAGGAAGTGGAACTTGATGTCGATGTGCTTGCTTCGGTCGTGGAGAACTGGATTCTTCGCGAGGGCGATGGCAGTCGTTGTCCACCATCGCTCTTTGGTAGGTGAGCTTCCACACCGGTCAGCTTCGCTTCCAACACGGTGCACCAGCAATGCAGCTCACATCGCCACGCGGCCGTGGCTGCGTTGCCACGATCACGCCTTGCGTGGACGCCAACGCCACCTTCTGTTCGCCGCCGCGACCATGAGATTGGAGCCGACGTGGAGGAAAACGAGCACGCTAGACCGCCACCACCTTCCGTCAATGTCCCCGCCATGTCTCGATTGAGCCGACACGAGGAAAATGAGCACGCTAGGGATGAAAACGGATCGTATCTCGTCGGATATCACCGATATTACATTTGTTTTCATATTTACGCATAGGTGAATACGGATAGTGAGTCAACTATATCCTACTTCCGCCGGATATCGACATTTATGGTATTCGGAAGATACGATCGATGTTGGATATCCGGACTCGATCCGGCGATCTCAATCCCTATAAACGGATTCGGTTTCGTACGGTCGGAAAATATCCGCATACCGCTTCATCCGGCGGCCGCCTACTGATCCTCCATAAAGCGATCCCCGATCCACCGTCCTCTTGACGCGTAGCGTAGCGCGCTTCACCGCGCGAAATCCTCCATGAAGCGGTCTCGTGTGCGTACAAGGTCGTGTGGACAAGGTAGCGTAGACCGCCGACAATGCTCCGGTAGAGTGTTGCATCTATCTTCGCCGTGGTACTGGCCTTCGTCAGCTTTAGCCGCTCCTCCATCGGAGTCACGCACGACTTGCATTTAGCCATGCCGCTCCGCTCCAACAGCTTCGAGGCGTACGCGATCTGATCGAGTGTGAGCGCCTCCTTCCTTTGTCTCACCTCGATGCCGAGGTAGTAGGAGAGCGCGCCGAGATCGCTCATTCGAAAACGAGCCGCCGTCTCGCGCTTGAAGCCGTCGATGTCCTCCGCACGCGCGCCGGTGACGATCAAGTCGTCCATATACATGCCGACGACGAGCTCCTCTTTTCCCCGTCGTCGTGTGTAGAACGCGTGCTCGGTTGCGCACCGCGTGAACCCAAGCTCGCCTAGCGTGGCGTCAAGCTTGGCGTTCCACGCTCGTGGGGCCTGCCGCAGCCCGTAGAGTGCATTGTGTAGTCGGAGCACCTTGTGCTCCGCTCCCTTGACGGCGAAACCCGGAGGTTGCCTGATGAAGACCGTCTCCGCCAGCTCGCCGTTGAGGAAGGCTGATTTTACGGCCAGGTGATGGACGCGCCAGTCCTTCGCTGCTGCCAAGGCCTGAAGCAATCGGACAGACTCCATGCACGCTATCGGCGTAAAGACTTCCTCGAAGTCGATGCCCTTGCGCTGGACAAGGCCTCGGGCGACGAGGCGCGCCTTGTGCTTGGCAATGGTGCCACGCTCGTCCCGCTTGACCTTGTACACCCACTTCAGGCAGATCGGACGGCATCCTGGAGGTGGATCGACGAGCTCTCAAGTCTCGTTTTCCTCGATCGCCTTCATCTCCTCCAGCATCGCCTGTTGCCAATTTGCATTGCGCTCGGCCAGCGCGAACGTGGGTGGTTCCTCTTCACTGACGAGAAGTAGCTCTGGGTCATTGAGCAGTCGACCCGCTAGGCCTGAGTGCCCTGTGCCGCCGATGACGTCGTCCAGCCTGCGGAACCGTACCTCCTCACCGTCGTGGAAGGCATTCACGAACTCAGCGATGTCACTTGGAGGTGAGGCGAACTCGATCGTTGTCGATGGAGTTTCCTGTTCCGCCGGAGTGGTCGGCACGACACCTGGAGTGCTTGGCACCCCGGCTACAGTGCTCGGCATTACTCCTGGACCACTCGTCACCACTCCTGGAGTGGTTGGCACCACTGCAGGAGTGCTCAGCACCAGTCTTGGAGTGGTCGGCACCACTGTAAGACTTCTCGGCTCCGCTACGGGAGCGTTCGGCACCCGTCCTGGAGTGGTCGGCACCACTGCAGGACCGCTCGGCACCACTTCTGGAGTGCTCGGCACCGTTCCAAGAGTGCTCGGCTCTGCTGCTGGAGTGGTCGGCACCTTCTCTCCAGCGTTTCCACCACCGTGGATGACCAAGTGCTCGACGACGAAGGTGCTGGTGAAGCCGTCAGCTTCCCCCGTGCCCGACCGTCCCCGGTCCCAGGCCGCCTTCTCGTCGAACACGACGTCGCGCGAGACAAGCACCTTGTCTCCGCGTGGGTTGTAGAGTCGGTACGCCTTGGTACCTTCGCGTAGCCTAGAAGCACCATCGGTGTGTTCTTGTCCTACAGCTTGGTGAGCACCGGCTTCGTTTTCCTGACGTGGCCGATGTAGCCAAAGGTCCGAAGGAAGGACACGCTCGGCACGCGCCCATGCCAAGCTTCAAACGACGTCTTACCCTTTAGGGCCTTGGTGGGTGCGCGGTTGAGGATGAACACGGCCGTGGTCACCGCCTCACCCCAGAACCTTGCCGGCATGCCCTTGGCCTTCATCATGGATTGAGCCATGCCGACCACCGTCTGGTTCCGCCTCTCCACCACGCCATTCTGCTGTGGCGAGTACGGCGTGGTGTGGTGTCACACCACATCCTGATCCGCGCAGTACGCAGCGAACTCCACCGAAGTGAATTCACCACCGCGATTAGTCTTTAGCACGCGCAGCTTCTTGTCGCTCTCCGCCTCCGCGCTCGCCTTGAATTTCTTGATCGCCTCCGCCGCCTCGTCCTTGCTCGTCAGGAGTTGCAGCCACGTGTAGCGACTGTAATCATACACGAGAAGGAGGAAGTACCGTCGACCACCGTTTGTGGCTGGCGTGATTGGCCTGCAGAGATCGCCGTGGACGAGTTCGAGAGCATCCACCACGCGATACTTGGCCGCCTTTGGGAACGATAGCCTCCTCTGCTTCTTGGCCAGGCAGCTGTCACACAGCTCGCCTATGTGCTTGATGTGGGGTAGCCCTCGGACCATCTTCTCCAGCCGACCTAGCGTGTCGAAGCTGAGATGGCCGAATCGGGCATGCCACACCACGGCTCCTTGGTGTGCCGTGCTGCCAGGCACACCGGCTGCTCCACCTTCAAGTCGAGCAGGTACAATCGATTACGTGAGCGTTTTACCTTCGCGACAAGACGCCGCTCCCGATCCCAAATCCTCGGGATCCCGCTCTCGATCAGTACCTCACATCCACGCTCATCCAGCTGGCCAATGCTGATGATATTTGAACGTAGCTGCGGGATGTAATATACATTCGTTAGCGCGCGATGCTCGCCGTTCTGGCACCTGAACATGATGGTGCCGCGCCCTCGGATCGCCACCCTTAAGCCGTCACCGAACTTCACCATGTCGGTCACGTCGTTGTCGAGCTCGAAGAAGGCTTCCTTAGAGCCCGTCATGTGGTTACTGGCGTTAGAGTCCAGGTACCACCACTACTCCTGCTCGCCGCCCACACGTCCGAGGTGGACTTGGGCGCGCGGTTCGTCGAGGTTGATAGCTTTCAGAGCCTTCCTAGGACCTTCCATCGCCATCACCTCTCCCTTCTCTTTGGCCTTAACATCGTGCAATGCACAAAACGTCGCCATCAGGAGAGTGGCCTCATCATCATCATCAGCCTGTGCCAGATGAGCCTCAACCTTCTTCTCCAGCTTGCGATTTGGGCACTCCTTTGCTTAATGGCCCGTCTTTCCGCAGTGTCGGCAGGCGCTGGGGTAGACCTTCTTCTTCTTCTCCGAAGAAGCCTTGCCACGGCGCTTGCCATCGTCACCGCGGTTGGAGGAGGCTTTCCTGGAGTTTCTCCGGGCAACCCACTCCTCCTGTGTCAGCAGCAGCTTGCCGCTATCCGTCGATGCTGTGGCCTGCTCCATGCGCTCATCCACTGCCCGCAGACGGCCTATCACATTCTCTATGGTGGGGTGGACAAGTCCAGCATCGTCTCTATAGAGAGAGCAATCTAGATGTACTTCGTCGACACAGAGTGGAGGTACTTGGAGACCACCTCTTCTTCGTCGATGGTGACGCCGTGGCTCCTCAGCTTGCTAATGAGCGTCTGCAGGCGGAGGGAGAAGTCCTCCACCGATTCACCATCCTTGAACTTGAGGTTGGCGTACTCCTGCTTTAGCAGTTGGGTCGTCGCCTTCTTTGCGCGGTCGGAATCGACGCGGATCGCCGCAATGGCTTCCCACGCCTCCTTAGCAGAGTTCTTCGCCCCCAACGGCTCCCTGTACTCCGCTGGCACAACAGCGAGGATAGCCTCCAACGCTGACATGTCGTCTTCTTCGTTGTCGGTGCCCTTGTCAACAGCATTCCAGAGCCATCGGGCTCTGAGCTTGACCTTCCTGGTCACCGCCCACTCGTCATAGTTGGTGCGAGTCAGCGTCGGCCAACTGGTGCCGCTGACCTCCCGCACCGTGCGCACGACGACCTCCTGTCGTGGCTGGGCAGCCACAACAGCGCCGCTGCTGTCGCCTATCTCCAAACCGTCTGTCATCGCCAGCGGTTAGTCCGGTGACGACGTTTGTACGGCTCTGATACCACTTGTTGGCCCTCTGGATCTTCGGAATGGGTGAGCCGACCACTCATCAGACCACACACTATAGCTAGAGGTTGAAGAAGGAAGAAAGAACAGTGCACACACACAGCACAAGCACCAACGTTGGCTGGAGCTCTGCAGAGGAGATGGTAAAACTGAACTCGCTCTCTTTACTGAGTTGCAGTGAGAAACTATATATATAACTCTACCCATCTAATCCTACAGTGACTAGATGTGACAGCAGGGCTGACTTTGGCGCCTGCCTCTGCTGTGGCTACAGTGCGGCAGGGGAGCCTTTCGGCGCCTGCCCCTGCAGCGGCTACAGTGCAGCAGCAGGGAGCCCTTTTCGGCGCCTGTCTCCTACCGTGCATTCACATAGGGGAACAACAGATTACTTAACAGTGTAACCATTGGCATTGGGTCAATTAGGAACATAAAAATTTCCATTATGTGAAAGTTTAAATTAACAAGGATTCTTGTGTCTTTGTTTAGTGAAGTTTAGGCATCTGACAAGGATTTATTTGGCATTGTTTGATGCGTTTTAGCTATCTTCTTGTTTGTAGGTTGAAAGAATATTTAAAGAAAATCCAGATTCAGCTAATTTAGAGAAAGCAAAATTGACACTCAAAGTGAGATTCCCCTTGAACTCATTATGGCAGTGCCATATTTACATTCATTTGTATTTCTTGTGCTTTGATGACATTTTGTGCCTTGAATCAGGCCCAAGAAAAGGACCTCTTGGATGCACTTGCTAAGCTTTCTGAAGTATCATATGATGGTACGTCACTTTGTAGAATCTTTTAGTTCATATGTTAAATAAAGTAAACTCCAGATTCCCAGAAATAGAAGATATTATAATCATGTCTTGGAGCAATGCCATAAATGCATAAACATGTCTAACAAAATCTACACTCTGAAGATTTTAGCTATCCTTTTCTTTAAAGAAAAGCAAGAAATTTTCTTTAAATAAACGAAAGAAAGAAAGGCAGCAGTCAGTTTACTAATCAGACTAATCAGCGATCGGAACTGTCCCCTGGGATTAGCAAGAAAGAAAAAACTTGCATAATTTAAGGGTTTCGTGAGTACTTTGAAGACTTGAGTGGATTGTGGAACATGACAGATTTTGGCACTTCGTGAACTGCAGTTTTTTATATTGTTGTTCCGCAGAATCTTTTGTATCAAATTCCACTAGATATGGAGATTGTTGTCTTTTGCCGTTTTCATCACCATTTAACCTATTCTTAGACCGTCTCCAACACCTTACCCATATGTGTATCCAAACCTAGAATGGGTATTGAATGGTACTGTTTCGACCTTCAACAGATTACCTATATGCGAAACGTATTTTGGGTTGCAGTAGATTCACAATCCAAATATGAGTATTCTCTCTCTTGAAGACTTATTTGTAGAAAGGGTTTTTTTTGGATCTTGTTGTTAGAGAAGACCAAAAATTAGTATTGAACCCTTTACCTATAGCGCTACCTCAACGTGAAATGAGTCTTGTATTTTGGGTGATGTTGTTGGAGATGGTCTTACCTATACCTACACCTACTTGAACTTGACCTGTTTTGCCCCTGTGCTTTGTAGTTGTTTATTTCGGTGCTAACCATAACCATGGGCCGGTCAACCTCAACGAGCATGACGATGCCAAGGGCGAAGGCAGTGTTGATTGTATCAGTCATGCTTATCAGCTATGATATAGTGTTTTTCTTTTTCAACAAAACAACATCAGCCGTCTTATAAAGTCACAGAAACGATCAAGGTGAAACACAACCCAAATATGAGTCGCTCGATCATTTCTATGGCTTATAAGCTGGTTGATACTGTTTTGTTGTGAGAAAAAACACTATATCATAGCTGATAAGCATGGCTGATACGATCGAGCGAACATGTGAAAGCTTCTGAGTTCAAGAGACGAGACGTCGCCTGAGGCTAGTCTGGGAGACGGTGGAACAGAAAACAAGGTAAAGATCCAGGGCATTGCTTCCGTGGCGTTGTCCCCCACCGGCGGCACTGCCAGCTCATCCCCGCTCCTCCTGGCCCTGCCACTGCTCGTGGCCGCGTCTTCCGCCCCTGGCCCGCTGATGACCGTGGGGCTGACCTCCGCGCCCTCGGCGCTGTGCAAGAAGCGGTCCTTGACCAAGCACACGGCGGAGCAGAAGGAGCGGATGCTGGAGTTCGTGGAGCGCCTTGGGTGGCGCATCCACAAGGCCGGTGCGGAAGCTGTCGACGCCTTCTGCGCCCAGATCAGCGTGCCCCCAGCGCGTCTTCAAGAACCGGATATACAACAACAGGCACCTCGCCTCCGCGCCCTCGGCGCTGTGCAAGAAGCGGTCCTGGACCAAGCTCACGGCGGAGCAGAAGGAGCGGATGCTGGACTTCGCGCAGCGCTTTGGGTGGCGCATCCACAAGGCCGGCGCGGAAGATGTCGACGCCTTCTGCGCCCAGATCGGCGTCCCCCAGCGCGTCTTCAAGAACTGGTTGAGCAACAACAGGCACCTCGCCAAGATTCCACCGTCGGCCCTGCCGTCGCACCACCAAGACCGCCCGGCCGCCACAGCGCGGGGACCGATGACTGAAGAAGACAAGTCTCCTGAAGCTCAAGTTGCTGTATCTGCTGATGGTGGCGAGGAAGACGAGAATGAAGTTTCTGAAGTAGTAGTGATTCCACCTTCGGCCCTGCCGTCGCACCACCAAGACCACCCGGCCGTCACAGCTCAGGGATCGATGACTGAAGAAGACAAGTCTCCTGAAGACGAAGTTGCTGTATCTGCTGATGGCGGCAAGGAAGACGAGAATGAAGTTTCTGAAGTAGTAGTAATTCAACGAGGAATGGGCCATCGGGCCAGAAAGCCTAACAAGCGCTACGGGTGGCCAGAATGGATTACCATTTAGCAAGCAGTCCAGGCCCAGTACGTGTGCTCGGAGAGCTAGCTGGAGCTGCAAAGAAGTAAAGAGAACCCCTCAAAAAAAAAAAAAAAAAGAGAGGAAGAGGAAGCTCGAAAGAGGAGAGGAGAGCTGAGCCGTCTCCACGTGAATATATATAGCTACTATATATATACCATTCAGCATTCTGTGTCAGTGTGCCACAAGCAATATAAGGAGGCATTGTTTATCGTCATGTTCGCTTGGCTTATAAGCCGTACTTTTTTAGCCAACGAATAATATTTTTCTTTCACAACAAATCAGCTAATAGTACTTTCAGCCATGTCTTATCAGCCAAATGAATATGGCATATATTATAAGTATAGTATGGTGGCTCGCATCCTTTGTCCTGCGCCAAACTCTCGTAATGGGATTGTGTGCAGCTACAAGAGTAGATGACTCTGATATTATATACTGCTACTCATTAACATTGTCACTGACCAGCGGATGCTGATCAAGATCAAGTGTACATCTCAGAGTTCATTTTCTTGTTTTCTGAGCCTGTGGTATATGATTCTTGATTCTTGTCACCGGTCGCTTCATCTATGATATATCATCATGGGTTTTGTTTGTGAACGGCCGGTCTCTCGAGGATGTGCACATATAGTGCAGCGTAATGGACTAATGGTAGAGATGTAGAAGTGCAACCCAGGTGACTCGCCGTTTCTCAAAAAGAAAACGACCACTCATGCTATTTTTCAGTGAAATACATGGCCACTAACGAATGAACTGAGATATGTGGTTCCAGGCACATCCTTGCCATTATTGACACGTCCTAGATAAGTCCGTTCCTAACGCTCCACTCTGGATGTTAGCTAGCTTCACCTTGCCACGTCGGTACATTGCTATCTTGGAGGAGAGAGTAAAAAAAGGTTGTGGCTTGCAAAACAGCAGAGAGGCTTGCAAAGGTACCGGCCGGTGGTATGAGAGAAAAGGTGTGGTTCAAGAGAGAGAGCAAGGGAGGAGAATCAAAGAAAAAAAAAGCACAGGTGGCTGTCATGTCGCGTGCTGCAACGATGTAGGGATAGTACTTCATTGTTGGCTTTGCTGGCATGTCATGCTCTCTCTCCTAAAACCACTATTCGCAAATGGTCAACGTTGGGCCTGCTCTAAATAGACGTACATGGCTTTTCTTGACCTTTTTGCCTACTCTGTATATGTCGATGTTTCATCGAAATTCCTGTCGGTTTTAATTTACTGAAAATCTCTTGATCACTAGTCACTAGTAGTGGTATGATATGTTCAGCTTACTGTCGGTATAGATTTCTGAGATGGAAAAAGGGAGGAGCAAAGGATTGTCAAAATACGTCGCATACTTCTCAACAAAGCATGCTTTGGATTTTTATTTTAGAGAGAAGCCATCCGTTTGTAGAACTTTGCAAGTTTTGTAGGAATATTGTACCGAGACGTGTAAATGAATCTGATATAGACAGATACGTATGGATACAAATATAGATAGCTATAGTATTCTTGATTTAGATTCGGATACGAATAGTGTCAAGCCATGGCGGCCAACAAATCTACTAGATACACGGCCAACAAATCTACTCACTATAGTTATTTCCCTCTGTGACATCCATTCTCTACGCTCTCCGTGGCTCCAATGAAGCCACTACTATATACATCTATGCTCTATGCTCTTTATTTCAAATTATAAAGACATTTATTTTTTCTATATATATTATTTTTACTCTGTTTTAGAAAAAGAAAGTTTATTCCAGTTTCTGTAAGAGTTTTGCATTTAGCAGTCATGTTCTCACAAGGAAATGGGAACGCGGATTGGGAACGGGAACTTAGGAGGTCATTTTATAAGGTGGGAGCGTAAATAAATGGTCCCGAATCAGGAACATGGACGTTCTCGGAACGACGTTTCCGGAACAAGGAACATGGCCATGTTCCACGTTTCCGACTGCTAAGATTTTGCACACAATCAATTCTTATTACAGTTCCTCTCTTACTGTTTTTCTAGCTCTCAGAAAGCGAAACCAAACAAAAGGATGATTAACTAAACGCTAAGTCTTTTCAACAACGACCATCCATACTTGGCGAATATTTCCATAGCCATAGTCTTCATCATACAACATGTCCACTTCAAAAAAGGTCTGTCACTCTTCTTCTACGGGGCGTTTCAAACAGGTCCAATAAGTTGCCTGAAAACAACCTGCAAATAAGAGTATAGTTATTTTTTTATAAAAACTCCCATCCTTTTTGTAAAGTTTAATTCTTCCAGATGGCTTGTATAAGAATTACTAATGATTCTAGAAGTATTAACAATACAGTATGCTGCAAATTAAATTTCAAATTTATCTGACAAATTGACCATACTACGTAGGTATTTGAAGAAGGTGGCCCGACATTTTGATGACAAAGTGCTTGAAAGATCAGGGAACGCTAAGTGAGATTTAGATTCATAGACCCAGATTTTAGGTGTTTCCTTTTTTTCCCTATGTGTTTCTGCAGATCATGAATCGCCAAAAAGAGTCACATGTCTCTGACTTAGTGGCAGCAATAAGTTCAAGCCCAATTTGCTTCAGTAAGAGGCGAGAAGCATACTGAAGCTTCGTTCATTGGGAAGTTGAATTCAGTGAACCACTTGCCTGTTTATGAGCTGCAAGCCTGTAATTGAATTTTACCAAATGAATCGCAAACTTAACAATTGATGCAACGGGACTTAATGAATTTAAGGGTTACTTGGTCGATCATTGTATTGTTTTTTGTTAGTGGAACAATTATTTGTCCTGTAAATTTCTAGAACATAATCACGGCATAATTGCTGCTTACACATACAAGGTGTTACAGAACAAGATTAATTATTAATCAGATTCAGGTGACTCCCCAGATTGTTTCATGAAATCTCTGTCAAGTATACTGCAACCAATTAAGCCACCTATTAAAATATTGCACAGCAGAAATGTTCTACCAACAAACTTTGCACACATGACACATCGAAGCATATAATTTTCAATCAAGTACGGTAATCAGCAATGCAACACACCTATGTATAACTGTGACATCCTCAAAATATTAGATGCCTAAGTAAGGTAATTACAAAAATTAATTGTTCTTGATTATACTTCTAACGCATTTCAGCATCTTGCTAAGTTTTTTTAAATCATGCATGTCATATTATATGGGCTGATGACGTTGGCAATTTTGGAACTATCTATTTTGCTTCTTTTCCTTGCCATGGTAAAATCATACCTTCCATTTAAGCTCACTAGGCCCAGTACAACATGATATATTTTCATCATCAACCTCCTGCATGCCTGCTTACGGCTGTTCATAATTGACGTTGTTGCCGTGTGGGCAAATTCCCTGTTAAATTTGGTATTAAAGTCGGCTGATAAGTCGGTCTTGGCTGATTTGTTGTGAGAGAAAAATACTGTAAATTCTAGCTGATAAGTCGGCTGATAAGTTCAAGCGAACATGCCCTGACCACACGTCACTTTTAGCTTCCTCTTTCTCGCTATTTGCTCAGCTGGAGTGGCCCTGGGGCTCTTACTTGCTTGCCATGGTGCCTAGAACTAGGCTTACTCCTTGAGGCTTTTACTTGTATGTCATTATAAAAGTTGGTAATTACCCATAAACCATTAAAAAAGTTGAGTTCTCACAGGTGCCACTCCTCGGAACTCTTTTGCCTTCCACGCCACTTCTGTCAGATTTAGCTCTAACAGTGTCAAACTGCGGGTGTGAAAAAGAAAATACCCTTAGGTCTAAATATGCAATTAATTTTTTTAGCATCTTAATGATCTCAAATGAAAAAAACTCAAAACTAGAAAGTTTATTTTTATAAAAATTATCTTCATTTGATTCTATACAAAAAATGTGATTTTTCTAGGACATTAATAATATCAAATCATATTTTTTGTACAGAATTTAAACGAAGATAATTTTTATATAAAAATTGTAGATATTGTCGAGATCTACAACTTTCTAGTTTTGAGTTTTTTCATTTGAGGTCATTAAGATGCTCAAAAAAAGTTAATTGCATATTCAGATCTGAGGGTATTTTGGACTTTTCACCACTGCGGTTTGACACCGTTAGAGCCAAATTTGACGGAAGTAGCGTGGAGGGCAAAAGAGTTCATAGCAGTGGCACCTGTGAGAACTCAACTTTTTTAATGGCTTGTAGATAATTACCAACTTTTATAATGACACACAAGTAAAAGCCTCCTTCCAAAAAAAAAACATAATTCTAGTTTTGAACCTGAACAGTGAATAGAGGGAGTAGGCAGTAGCCTTGTAGCTGCAAGCAGTGTTTCGAGCCTCCATGCAAGTCACCTTGGTAAATTCTTGTCGCATTTATCCATTGTATTCCTTCGGGAGCCATCCTCGCTAGTCTTCAATCTTTGGGTGACTGCATAAAGTTACTGCTGGAGGACCTCGGCCATGTACTAATCGAGTTCTTGATGTTCAGTTGTGCAGCTTCATGTGGTAGAAAATCCTTCCTCTGGTGCTCCTCTGCTCCACTGTGGCCCTCCGTTTCAGCAATATCCACGAGCCCCTGGTGAGCTTCAGTGTAGAGTTTGAGCTACATGTTTCATTCTATCAACAAGAAGGACGCTGCTTTGCTACCGCCATGACCTTTTGCTGCTGCCCTGTATCGTAGTTGCATGCTTTTGTTAGAGATAATCCACGATACGTAGTGTCCATGGTATGTGTGTGTGCCGCGTCATCGTGGTGTGCATGTTTGGCTATTTTTGGGTTAGGATCGAGTCGTGTGTGCCTCTTGAATGGCAATGTCGTGTGTGCCTCCTGGATGGCATGCAATGGCTGAGTCCGAGTCTGGTTGGAGTAGTGGTATACATGGTGCCGATTTGCATGGTAGAAGCCGCATTGTCCGGATGAGCAAGTGGCTCACAGTGTTGCTGCGCGGGTCCTGTGAATCATGGTGCGAAGGCAGGCATGGAGGTGAGCTCCATGGCCTAAATGTAACCCCGTGCTCCTCTGTCTGCTAAGTCCAGTGAATA